TTGGCAAGACCAATTTTTGGGGCAACATTTACTTTTCCAATTATACTAGGGCGTAGGCTAGCATTTAAATTAATTCTAATTTCCTGGCTTCACATCTAAGCAGGATTTGATTCAACGTTTAGGATTAAAATAGTTTCTCCAATAATTCACCCGCAGTTAGCCAATAGTTTGTGAAATATAGACTTCTATAGCACTTTGCTTTTAAGGAGTACTAAACTCTTTCCAATTCATCAATCAATATTTATTAAACTGTGTCAGCACTGCATTTGGCTCATTGGGAAGTACAAACATTACAAAAATTCCATTGGGCAGGAAAAATTAACACATGCAAAACATTCAACAGCAATGAGATAAATTGTGAGGGGACTAAATGCATTTTGGAGAAGAGCTATTAAAGGGCTTCAGCAGCTTGCCTTTTATAGTTTCAGAAATGAAGTGTGACTTGAGTTGAACTTTTGAGGATGGACAGGATTTGAAGCAGCAGGGAGACTACTTGGGGAGAAGGGGCAGTCTGAAAATATAAGCAAATACAAAGAAGCAAAAACGAAACGTGGCCAGTATTTACAGATCAACCCTAGTTGGGCAAGATGTGATTGAGAATAGTGGTAAATTGGAAAGGAAGAATATAACACTATTTCTGATTCATTATTATGAGAGCAACGTTTGGGGAAGTAACTGAAACCCATGAAATATGGGTGCACAGACAAGGATGCTGATATGGAAAATATGATGGTAGACAAATCCAAACAGTATTTTGAAGAACTATTTGGCAAGTAAATAAGTCTCCAGTTTAGCCTAAGTCATAGATGCAACAGCCTTGTGACTAAGACATTGAATTTGACGATCAACCACCTTGCTGCAAGTTTACTACCTAGTTTTAGAAGACAAAAGAACCATTTTGTTTTCTTTGTAGTGTGCTTGCTATATTGCTAAGCAACATTTTACACTAGCCTCAAAATGTGGATGTCACTCTTTATTTTGTAACCTACACTTCTAGTCATGCCACTATTAAGGACAGATGAGAATCAGGCCAGGACTTCATTCGTAGATCCTTTTTGATTGATGCTGCAGTCTATTCCTATGTAGTAAGCCTTAATAATTTGCTGCAACTTGAAAGCTTATTCCAAACAGACACATAAAGGATCCTCTACTACCCAGCACCTCAGGGAATAATTCTGCCATGCCTTCTAGCACTTTTAACAATATCCTACATTTAGTCCTTCTCTTTTACAAAGGAAATTCTGGCTTTCATTTGTACAATTTGTGGCTTCAGAGTACCTCTTCACAAGTTAAATTATTAAAGGGCCACCAGAGCTAACATTTTTAGGATTAAGGATAAGCTTAATAAACCTGGCACACTTTTAGCATTCTCAATCCAATTTGCAGCAAGACTGCTAGTCAGCAACTACCTTCTGTAGCCTCCCTTGACATAAGAAGTGTTAGCTTTGCAGGCAGGGAAATCCCTACTATGCAACCTTGATGAATTCTTTTCTGTACTGCAAAAACAACTTTATTTGCCTACTTGTCTTATTCTGCAAGGCATAAGTTTCTTTTTTTTCTTTTTTTTTTTTTTGTCCTTGTTGGAGACTGGCCGCACCTTGCTCAGCCAGTGAGCGCTGTGAGCGCACTGGTCATCCCTATATAGGATCCAAACCCGCGGCGGGAGCGCTCATGCGCTCCCAGCGCCACACTCTCCCGAGTGAGCCACGGGCCCAGCCCCATAAGTTTCTAACATTAGTGTTTCAAGGCCAGTGTTCCAACACCTGTCTTCTTGATGACTAAATCCCATCAAGTAGGCCTAAAACAAAATTGTTAATATTCTTAGTGGTAATTTAAACAGGAGACAAGTTTGTGTCCTTTCCATTTTTGTAATGTAAACTTGTGGGAAAAGGGGATAATGGAAATGACAAATGCTGAAGTGTTTAATTCCCAATAATTTTCAGCTCTTAAAATAAAATGGCACTGGGCCGGCCCGGTGGCGCACTGGATAAGTGCGCCGCTTGGTAAGCGCGGCGGCGCTCCCGCCCGAGGGTTCGGATCCCACATACAGACCGGTTCCCGCTCACTGGCTAAGCGAGGCGCGGGGGCAACACCGAGGGTTGCGGTCCCATTGCCGGTCCCCAGTCCGGTACGGGGGCAACACTGAGGGTTGCGATCCGTTGCCGGACACGGAAAAAGACAAAAGACAAAAAAAAAAAAAAAATGGCACTAAGTAAACATGTCAAGAGAACTGTGTGTATTTTTTGTTCACAAGATACTTTGAGGGCCGGCCCGGTGGCGCACTGCTGCAGTGTGCCGCTTGGGAGTGCGGCGGCGCTCCCGCCGAGGGTTCGGATCCCACATACAGACCAGCCGGCCGCTCACTGGCTGAGGGGGGGGCGGGGGCAACACCGAGGGTTCCGGCCCCTTGCCCGGTCCCCAGTCCGGTACGGGGGCAACACTGAGGGTTGCGATCCGTTGCCGGACACGGAAAAAGACAAAAGACAAAAAAAAAAAAAAAATGGCACTAAGTAAACATGTCAAGAGAACTGTGTGTATTTTTTGTTCACAAGATACTTTGAGGGCCGGCCCGGTGGCGCACTGCTGCAGTGTGCCGCTTGGGAGTGCGGCGGCGCTCCCGCCGAGGGTTCGGATCCCACATACAGACCAGCCGGCCGCTCACTGGCTGAGTGAGGTGCGGGGGCAACACCGAGGGTTGCGATCCCTTTGCCGGTCCCGGTCCGGTTCAGGCGCGACACCAAGGGTTGCGATCCGTAGCCAGTCACGAAAAAGACAAAAAGGGGGAAAAAAAAAAAGATAACTTTGAGTCTACTAGGAAAGGCCTAGAAAACAAAAACCGTTCACTTGACAAATACGCAGGTTTTTAAGACAAAGTGATTATTAAAAGCCTTAGTAATGCCAAGAAATAAGACTGGTAGATCATCACTCCTGAAACTGTTTCACACCATGAAAACAAACTACAAAGGTCCCTAGGACATGACCAATTTTATGCCTTCTTTTCACAGTACACCTACTACTGTACCCAATTCTCACACTCCTGGCCTTACTATTCAATACCTGGAGATGTACAAGATAGGTGAGTACCTTATAAAGCAAGCTCTATTCAAAACCTAAATGATCCAGCTGAGAAAGGAATGGATTTTGCCCAACAGATGAGGAGGCAGAGGTAAAGTTAAAGATACAGAACGAAAACTTACCCAAACCATTTAATTTTAGATATGATACAGAGGATCAAGGTAGTTGATCTTTGCTTTGCTGGTCGTATTCCTTATAGCTAGTTCATGGTTGATTTTGTCATAGCTCCCTCTAGTGGCTAAGGGATTTTCCCTTGCATTTACTCGAATGGGGAGTGGAACAGAATATTTTACAGTTCCTATTAGACATTTTGGCATCCCTACAAATTTTTGTTCAAAGTACACTTGTTGGGGAGAGTCTCAATTTCCACTTTTACGTGTATAGTTCTATCAATAGTTGACAGATATGTTGTACAGTGACAGGAGTTAAGACAAATTTTAACCTGGTGCTTGAATATTACCTCCTTCATACTTTCCTTTTTTCTTTTTTTTCCTTTTTGTCGTGACCGGTAACGGGATCGCAACCCTCGGTGTCACGCCCGCACCGCGCTCAGCCAGTGAGTGGACCGGTCTCTATATGGGATCCGAACCCTCAGCGGGAGCGCCACCGCGCTGCCACACTCTACCGAGTGTGCCACCAGGCCGGCCCTTTCCTTTTTTCTTTTGGTGGCTGGCTGGTAAGGGGATCTGAACCATTGACCTCTGGCATTACCACCTCCTTTGTGCTTTGAGATGGAGAAAGCACCCAGCTGAATTCTCTATAAATATTGTTTCATCTGTGTTTTGCTTACCTACCTAAATGGTAACCTTCTTATGAAAAGGCACGCATGACTTCTCCCTGAGAAACTGGCCTAGCATCTATTAAAAAGTTGTGAATTATGAGGTTACTTCTGCCTAAATTAACTTCCATATGACAGACTAATTTATTCAATTTATTTTGTGTACTACTGAAGCACCAAGTGAGTTTTACAATAGAAAAAAATTGTTCCCTTGACCCTGACAAACTCACAACTTTAGGGTTGTCATGCATAGCTTTCAAAGCTAGTAAGAGGCAGTCTAAAGTTCTTAATCATGGAGTAAGTGCTGATTTAAGCACAGTACACTGTAACTTCTTTAATCTATGTTTAAAGCAAAAATTATTTTGCCAAGATTACTATTTATTTAATAAACAATCACAATAGACACAATGAACAGATGTTTCTTTAGAATCTCTATACTTCACGCCAATTCATCTTTCATACAGGATCAGACTGGTCAATGTTCCTGTTTACTGAAACAAATAATTACCTCAAAAGAACAGAGTAGTGTACTGTACACTCTAGGATGGCTGATTTTCTTCTTCAATGGAATACAACTGTTTTGAATCCACCAAATCAACAGAATATAAAACTGTAGGCCATACCTTCTTTCCTTGTGGCTGCTTCAGCCTAAAAAGACTTAGGAGAACTTAGATCTCATCTAATGAAGGATTCAGTTAACAGGTTTTTCACTCACTCACCCCAAACTACTCAGAAACATAAGACCTGTGTATTCTAATACAGTTCTACAATCCCTTATCCGAACTCTTGGGGACAGGTGTATTTGGGATTCAGAGCTGTTTGCACTTTATAAAGGTATGGTGTATATACCGTTTATTATGTAACACCTTCTGCAAAGTCTGTAGCCACTGTGTAATGAACAATGAAGCACATCAGTATTTCTGCAGAAAAAGTTTAGTCACACGAAGTGCAAAATGAAGGCATCAATTCTGGTCAAACTACATTTCATCAGATCAACAACAAAAATATCTTTTGTTTTCAAAACTTTTTGCATTTCAGGACAGTTGGTAAGAGACTGAATTTGTTTTCTGCTTTTGCACTCTTCATCATACTGTGATGGAATAGTTAAGCCAAAGGGTAGTTATGTTACAACAGAACTTCACACTTATAGTTTCTCTCCTTTTAATACTATTTATGGTAAATACATACACACAACTTAATTCATTTGTAATTTCATAACAAACTTCATATACAAAAGCAAAAAGGCACACATAAGAAATTCACCTTGACCACAGAAATTCAAAAATAACACCAGCCCCAATGACCAAGACATGTTTCACACACACAACTAAGAAAAGCTGAGATTCTAGAATAAACCATATTGAACTCAAGCACTACAATGTGTGGATATATGAGCACTTAATTTATTAAAAGGAATAAACCACTTTAAATGAGGGAAATCTATTCATATTCCAACCAGCATCTTTTTAAATGTTAAACTGTTTTTAAAATAAAATTCAGATCCCAAACAATTAGCAATCAGAAAATGGGTTTCTTACCTTTTGTTTCCAGTAGGATGTGGGCTGAACAGCAAGGTAGGTTACTCAATCTGATGTTATGGTAAGTAATTGCTTCTTAAAGAGACTTAAGTTTTTCCTTGGTTAGAAAATTAATTATAGGCTCTCTACAAAATTTTAAGGGGACATAAATAGGGAAAAAAGGGGGAAAATTCTACACAGCTTTTGTAGCCCCAAAAGTGTAGTTATCTGGTCACCTTTACCTACAAAACCTATGCCTCTCTACCTTTCATAAATATGCATGAAGTCCTCTCTAATCTTCAAACTCAGCCTATATAGCAGGTAAGGAATACTTTCCACTTCAAACTACCAAAAATTTTCAGAGCTTAAATACACTAAATCTTGACTGAAGGCCATTTACATTCTGGTCCTTTGTTTCCAGAACATTCAATGAATACAAACCCAAGTTTGCTTAAGTCTACCTCACATTAACCTTTCAAAATTATCTTTTTAGTCATTTGATATCTTCCCTCTAATAACCCAATTTAAGAAATATTCTACACATGAAACAATTAAAAACTTTAAGCATGTCATGTAAAATATTCTTCACAATTGTTTTAAATAGTATATTTGCTTCTTAACCATGTTGATTTCTTACATAAAAACTAGAACCATTTCCTTAATGTATCTATATTAAATGCTTTAAATATTTAAAGTGAAATCCTAGTTTTGAACTTAACATCCCTTCTCTTCCTCCTGACATTCCACAAGGTTCATTAAAATATACCGATTGGATGACTTTATGCAAACCTCTCTTGGAACCCATTTCTCCCACTACCAAGATTATTTCTGGCTTTCTCTAGGTTTAAAATTATCTCACCTAAATAATCGTCTTAAATTCAGCTTTCAACTATGATTAGCACCCAAGGGAAATGTTAAGATCTAGTTATTTCTTTTGAGTGCGGAAAAGAGTGGTCTGATGGTTATGACTAAACTATGAGGAAATCAGAAGACAAAGATTAGGAATTTTAAGTTAAACTCCTCTCCCCCAACCCAAGCAAGTTTGGAAACTTGGCATCAAGGAGATGTCAGTAAAAAAAATATAAAGACTAACAGATTAAAAGATATAATCCTTGCTTTGGTACAGAATGTCTTGAGTACAGAATAACTATGGTTGAGAAGGGTTTTACATGGCTAAATTCTAAGTGCCCAGCTTTTTATTACAAATGATTCACCCAAATAAGCAGTTAATCCTCTAGTGCACTGTTCACATTTCTACAAGAGTTCTAATACATCTGTGCCAAAGTTAACATTTAATACCAATTTTTTAAAATTAGTTTCATTGAGAACTTCAAAAGCTATCTCCAAGTTAACATTAATTTACTAGCCATGAACCAATTTTGCACAAAAGTCTATGTTGTCTAAATGACCAAAATTAAGCGGTATCTATAAATTTTTAGTCACTTTCTAGCAAATTATAAGCTTATCTTTCAGACACTAGATCATCCCCTCGTTTAACATTTACATACTCAACTGCCTTATTCTCACCTCATTCCCTGAAGACTTTTACAATTAACAATAAGAGATGGTTAATACCATTTATTAGATTGCCTTTCAAGAACCTTTAATTTACTAACACATAAACACAACAGTCAGAATCTTACCAATTTAAAGTATTAAGTGATAGACTAGTCACCCAGTTAAAAATCTTACATGAAGAGGAAAAAGGACAACCATGCATAGTTTTTTAAAAAATGTTTATTTTTTCAAAGAAAAACGGCAATAGCCAATTGGAAACCTACTTATTCTTCAACTCCAATTTTGTTTTCTTTAAATTTAGAAGTAACTTACTGATTTACTATTTTAAACAAACCCCCCTTTCCCCTTTAAATGTTTACCATCTACTCGTGCTGAATCCTTCCAAGGAGATTGCTCCGCGTATATCTCCAGGTCCTCGCTTTGCTCCTTTTACCAAAAAATGCAAAACACAATTCCATCGTGCATCTTAAGGGCTCCAATCGTCAAAAATAGGAAAAAAAAAAAAATCTTTGGAATAGCCAATTAAGTTGAATAAAAAAAATCCACACGAATGCGGTTTGGTTGGGGCAGGAATCCACTCCTATGTTCCTGGTAATCTGATCCCGCTCCATGAATCCTTGTAATTCATCCTCCCTATCCTATCCACATTATGATTTGAATCCAATGATCCAGCTCCAAGGATTGGGATCCAGTGAGCCCTCTCCAATCCAAACCTTTATAACCAGCAAAACCAAAAAAGAGGAGGCAAAATGTTAGATACTGTAATCAAAAAAGGTTTCTGGGGAATGATGAGTTATGTCTGTCATCAGTTTAATAGATGTACATCAATAACTATCAAATTCCCCAAAACAAGTTTCTGAATGGTGTTCAGATAAATTTTAGAAACTTAATCATCATAGAGACTAATTGGAAGAAGCATTTTATATTTACAGTTCAACTGATAATGCCAACAACTTGTTACTGTACAGCGTATTACAGGTTTTGTGGTTGCAAAGAGTTATGTCGTTGAAAAGTTTACTGGTATTGCTACCCACCTAAGTCTAAACTAAATCTAATGCTCCCATCTGCAATTTATCTTGTTAATCAAAGTGTTTTAAACATATGAGTCAATTATGAATAGTAGTTTAAAGGGGAAGGTGAGACTTAAAAAGTATTCCCAACTAAATTATCTACACCAATACATTGGAATTCTATATTTTGCTTTCATTTTGTCTTAAAAAAATGAAACAGCAATGCTCTATCAGTCACACAGAGGACATGCAGATTTAGCAGTATTGATATTATACTCTATCTCGTTGGAATTAAAGACACCCTGTACCCACATGTACACCAACAGCAGGTCACACATTAACAGTTGTAACTAAGCACTGTGACAAATTAGCCAGTTCTTCCCACATTAGTCCCTATTAAAACAAAAAAGGGAAGGGAGCAAAATAATTGTTACAAAATGGGCAATATAATTTTGCCACAATTGCAAGGTTTAAAGAGCAAAGCAATTGTAGCTAAAGATAACTGCATAAGATGTTTACAACTGTTTTAAGATAGATGTATTCAATCATTCTTAACCCTTGCCTTTTAGTATAAGGTCAATACTGCCAATTTCATCTGTGACAATAGCACTTGGAGTCATACCATTGCCTCCATTATTGATCTGATCCTCCTCAATCCTCCTTTTGACAATCCTAAAATGATTGAAATGTGCTCCACAATCCTTAATCCAAAGCATTCTTAATCCATCTCTTCAGATATGTCTACAGAAAGACACATGAAAAGCAAGATAAACATAAGAACTTCCCCAAGTAAGATAACCAAAAACACCCCCAACATCCCAGTTCACACAAACCAGAGCAGAATAGACATTTACACAATATCACAGTTTGAAGAGCATGGAGAGTTTTAACTAAATTTAAACAATCCTGTCTATGACATCACTTAAAATACAATTTATCAAAGACATGAGGGGAATGTAGATGTTAGGAGCAAGGGGATATTACACAAGAATGCAATTCAACACTTTTAGCCCATTCTGAACAAAACAGTTTGAATTAAAAAAATGAAAAGATTGTACTGAGTAAAGGAAAACTGTATACAACATGGGTTCTACAAAAAGTGTCACCAATCATCTTATGTACGAGAGCGAGATCTGCTATGACGGGGAGAATAACGTGGTGATCCTCTGCTTCTCCTTGGGGAGTAACTGCGACTCCTGCTGTTGCTTCTGCTACGGCTTCTGCTACGACTACGGCTTCGAGATCGAGATCTTCCATAACTTGGACTTCTGGGCCCATCAACTTTAACCCGGATGTAGGCAGTTTCTCCCTATTGGATAGACAGAACTTTCCATTGAAAGATCTAAGCTTTCACCTGTCTTCAGGCATGCTGAATGAATACAATGTAACTAAATCCAGAAATCTGGCAATACACTTGGACACCCTTGCCTGAATCCTTACCTTCAAATTCCACTGTTAAGACCAGTGTATCCAATTCTGGCCAAAGAAAAGAATAAGTGTATGACCTACCTCATGAGATCTAAACTTAGTGTTATCCAGTTTTCGAACTGCATAGGTCATATCTTCTTTCCGTACAAACTCCACGACACCAGTGCCATCTCGGTAAACATCAGCATAACATACATCACCTGCTTCACGCATGTGATCCTTTAAATCCTGCCAGCTTCCACTTGGAGGCAGTCCTGAAAAAGTCATTTTTTTCCTTAATACAAATTACCCTAAACTTCACATTCGACTTATGTGCATCACAACAAAGATTATTTCAAAATACTTATTGGTTGTACTTGAGTGATTCCAGGTAAAAAGCTAGTAAGATTCTGGAATCCAGAGTCCAAATGATTATTTGTAAAGGGTCTTCATATTCTAGAATCACCACAGTAATCCTTGTTTACTAAATTCATTCAAAAACTAAAGTAATTTAAGACTTTGCATGAAAAATTCGCAACTGTCAAACTGGCCATGCAAGGAAAAATTTTAAGTGGTTTCTGTCCCTTCTTATCAGCCCCCACGAGCAGAAGTAAACTCACCAGAGACAACCACTCTGTTTTCAGACCGCCTTGATGGGGGGCCATACCGACCTCTGGGAGCTCCGCCACCTCCACCCCCACCGCCGCCTCGGCCTGTACCACGGCCGCTTCGAGGAAACTCCACCCGCAGACGGTATCCATCGTAATCATAGCCGTCGCGACCGTACACCGCGTCTTCCGCGTCTCTGAATGATCACAGAAAGCAAAGGGGATGAAAAAAGAAACCGCGGGGAGAAGCTAACTCAGTCGGGAACCAGCGGCCCCCCGCACACGCGCACCCAAAGTGGAAGAGCCCACACGCGCCGCATAATAGACACGGCCCCTCCCCCACCCAGGAACACGCCAGGTTCCCGACCACTTCACCAGCCTTCGCCGCCTCAGTTTCCCGCTCCAAACTCGCGAGTCGGCTCCGGAGACGTCCAAGGCACCCAGCCACCAGAGAAGCCACACCGACTTGGCTCCTTACTCGCCTCCCACATGGGCGATATCGTCTCGCCCCAACCTCTCAAAGAGCTCCCCCTTCCCCATTCTCTATGTTAAGGCCTTGGAGCCTTTCCCAACTACTCCGACCTAGTTCCTCAAGGCCGCAAGCCCATGCCGCCTCACCGCGGGTCCTCGAACTCAACGAAGGCGAAGGGCGGTCCCCCGCGGCGATTCTTGAGGTCGATGTCGCGGATAGCGCCGTACTTGTAGAACACGTCCTCAATGTCCTTGGTTCGGATGTCTGGAGGTAAGTTACCCACGTAGATACGGCAATCGTTGTTCCCCGCCGGGCCACGAATCACACCACCTCCCGACATGGCGGCGACGAAAAGCGCGGACTCGAGCACAGGCCTTCCCACCAAGCCTAGCGCACAGCAGAACAAACCCGCAGCGGTACCACGTCTCCCGCGGCCTCTCCAAAATGGCGCCTTTATCAGCTCGGCGCATGGATATGGGGGGAGGGAGGAAGAGAAGCGAGAGGAAGCAGCTCTTCGATCTCAATACGCACGCGCAGCAGCGTAACGGATGCTGAGATAGTTCTTCTGACGCACGCGCGACGTCACCCTCCGCACGAAGGAGTTAAAAAAAAGTCCCCGCGTTCCAGACTTGCCCAGTGGTTTGCTAATGGAGTGAGCAGCCGTTTCGTAAAATTAAATACAGAACCCTTGTTAAAGGGGCTATTAATCCCTGTCGGGTCTTCAGGGATAGTCAAGTTCCACAGGACTGAGCCTCTTTGAAAGCAACTCGGCGCCTTGAGAGGACTTGGTGAAACCTAGCCTAGAGCCTCGTCCCAGCATGCTCCGCGGCGTTAACGGCCTTTGGCGGGAAAGACTCCGAAGGGCGGTGCCAAAGTGGGAGGGACCCGGCGGTGACTCCGGAAACAGAGGCATCCTTGGAGAGTGCGTCTAGTCCGGGAGCTGGGTTGCAGGTGAAGCAATTAACAGTCCGCACGTAGCTTTGTCTTCTCTCCCCTTAACAGGCAGTGGCTGCTTAGACAATTAGACAAGTGTCTAATCTAGAGGAACCCAGTTTAGATTCCGTAATAAATACTCTACAGTAAGTACCGTTCTACTTTCGGTTCAGAACTTTGCATAGCCACCACTCCTTGCGCTAGTGGCGGTGACCCCGATCAGTTCCTGGTGGTACGTACTAACCAGGAGGGGTGACAACACCGTACCGCCTTCAGGGCCTAGATTACTGCTTCTCTTTAATCGCCTGTTGCTGGGCCTAGTGCCGAGTAGAGGCTCAGTGGATGCTTGCGGCATGAATTGTGCCAATTGTCTCTTCTTTCGAAGAACGAGAAAGAAAAAGGAAGTGTGTGTGCAGAATCCTGAAATTAATTGCTTTTTCATAAGGTTCCCCTAAAAGTTACTTATATACAGGAGTTTTGAACTCGTTACCGGTCCTCTCAGATAATATAAATGAGCAAAATGGATGTGAGAATAACCTTAACCACTGGAGAACACAGTTGCTGCTCAGGACTGTGATTGCGTTTGTATGCTGGCTCGGAGATAAGAACTTTTTTTTACATTTTTTTCAGAGACATCGGAAGTCTGGATTTTAATGTAAAATGCTGGGATTCTTAAGTGTCACTGATGAATTCATATTAAAAAACAAAACCCTGTAGTCATAAATATGCCAAAACAGATCTGCACCCTGAGTTGAAGGATGTGTTTCTTCATATTGTGTATTTGTTTACAACATCCCTCTCCCTAAGGATGTGAGGCGGCTTACAGAGATACCATAATACATTATTAAAACCGGATGAAGAAATCAGCGGAAATGGGAAAATAAGGGGTAAGAGATTAAGATGAAGTCATGCATAAGGTTAGCACACAAAATGTCTGTTGAATTCCTAGAGATATACTGCAAATTTGACTCTGGTCTTCCTAGAAGTTACAGTAGAGAAGGAAACACTGTATTAAAAATCCAGTGTCTTTGGGCCGGCCCGTGGCTCACTTAGGAGAGTGTGGTGCTGACAACACCAAGTCAAGGGTTAAGATCCCCTTGCGGGTCATCTTTAAAAAAAGAAAAAAATCCAGTGTCTTTGAAATAAAAATAAATACGAGTAGGTCATTTAGGAGAAGGGTATGTTTTCTTAATTCTAAAAGTTGTTAGAGGGGCCGGCCCAGTGGCGCACTGGATAGTGCGCCGCTTGGGAAGCGCGGCGGCGCTCCCGTCCGAGGGTTCGGATCCCATATACAGACCAGTTCCCGCTCACTGGCTGAGCGAGGCGCGGGAGCAACACTGAGGCTTGTGATCCCGTTGCCGGTCCCCGGTCCGGTACGGGGGCAACACTGAGGGTTGCAATCCGTTGCCGGACACGGAAAAAAAAAAGACAAAAAAAAATAAAAAGTTGCCGGTCCCCGGTCCGGTACGGGGGCAACACTGAGGGTTGCAATCCGTTGCCGGACACGGAAAAAAAAAGACAAAAGACAAAAAAAAATAAAATAAAAAATAAAAGTTGTTAGAATATATTTTTCAAATGTCTCTTAGTGACCCCAAAATACAAATTCAATTAGAAATGAGCAACGATGCTTAATCTTGGGTCTGTGGATCCTCTACAGGACCTTTGGTGGTCCTTGAATTCTCCGTAATGGTTTCCAAAATTATATATGTATGTGTGCATGTACCTTTTATGGGAAGAAGAATTGAAATTTTAGTCAAATTCTTAAAGGGATCTGTAGATCCCAAAAGGGAAAAGAACCTTTGAAAATTTTAGAGGGAGAGATAGATTATCTATTCTTCAGACCATCCTTCAATGATATTTTTTGAAACCGAACTTTTAATAAAAAAGAAAACTTGATTTTTAAAAAATGAGGTTACCAAAAAAGACGCTATTTCAACAAATTTATTGTTTCTAGCACCGTCCCATTCAATTCGTGGCAGAAAAGGTCAGAGTTTTTTTTTAAAGCCCTATCATTTATTGATTCCTTCCTTCAACAGTTATATACTGAGCACATTTTCTTTACGTTCTTTTATCCATCAGTTTAGATTTTTTCTGGGTCATCTGTTGGTTAATGTTAAGGTAGCAGTAACTGAAGTGATTTAAACATAGGTGCTTTTAATTTCAATACATTTTCTTCCAGAAAAATAAGAAAACCATTAACTTGCTTTGACTTATTCTTGTATGTCTAATTTAACACAATCATTTCTGATTTTAAGTTCAGAAATACAAGGTAGAACATAATATAGAGTGAATAGGACACACTCATTTCTTTATTGACCCATTTATATATATATATATATATTTGAATGTAACCAAATTATAGGTTCTGGGGTTGATGATGAGGTCAGTATATTGCAGGAAAAGTCTAGATGGCTGTTTATTCGGGTCTCCCAGGATGGCATTAGCTTTTGGTTATTATGGTTAAGAATGTGATCTTAATGTTATCAGTGCTGTTATCAGAGGTGATTAATATATTTTCAGTCTACAAAAAAGGAAAAAAACAAACTATTAGTGAATCAGAACAAAACGAGGTGAATCATTTTGAGGGATATTTTGTTCAGAATATGGTAAGAAAGACCTGATTAAGTGATCTCTGCCCCACAACAAAGTCCTCTCCAAGACTGGAAAATTCATAGCCCCTGGATTTTGTGTCTCTGTTCCTTGTACAGTGCTGGGTAAAGATTGGCAATTCTTTTTCAATAGGCTAATCTTCACACAAACTTTCCCTAAACAATGTTCTAGGTGACTGATTAGTTTTCTGATGACCCAATTAAAACCATTTCTTGTTTTGCCTCCTGAGATTACATCCTCATTTTAGTCAGAGTTTGGGGGTTTCTAAACTCCTCAGTTATACATTTGCCAGCAATTCTATGGATTGCTCCCACAACCAGCTAATTTACTAAGTATATACTTTACCAGCTTCTTTCTCAGAAGCTACCATATTTTCAACACCATTGCTGTTTATAAAAAGTTACTTTCCTAAAAAGAAACTTTTCAAATGCTCTCTATTCATTCCAGTATATATTAGTGTCAGCACCATACTTTACCCTGGAAATGATTACCTGGCAGCAGGGTGATGGGAATAGGGGTAGGAGAGAAAGAAATTCAAAGAGTTAATTACCGTAGAGTTGAAGTCACAAGACCCAGTTTTTTCAGTGATTTATTTAACACTTAAAACTCTATACTTGTGCTGTTACAAAACTCTGAGTATACTACAAATCATGCAATTGTACACTTAAAGCAGATAAATTGTATGGTATGTAAATTATAACTCAATGAAACTTTTAGGGCCGGCCCGTGGCTCACTCGGGAGAGTGCGGTGCTGATGGCACCAGGGCCACGGGTTCGGATCCCATATAGGTATGGTTGGTTAGCTCACTGGCTGAGCGTGGTGCTGACAACACCAAGTCAAGGGTTAAGATCCCCTTACCGGTCATCTTTAAAAAAAAAAAAAAGAAACTTTTAAAAAATGATGGGTCCACAATCAGAATCACTATATGTCCACAATCAGCAGAATCACTCTCCAGTACCATTTGTCCAAAAACATGGAGAGTTGAGGGAGTCTAAGAGTAATTTGCACTGAAATAAGGCTCTCCTAATCTGGAAATTCTCCTAATCTGGAAATTTTCATCATTGGTTTTGCCAATCTCTACTGTCGTCCCTGGTGATAACTCTGTTATTTTTACTACTAGGTAAAGAGACACTTGAATAGTTTGGGAATACTGGATTCCACTGTGTGCGGGAATTCCAGGAACAGTTCATTTGCAGGATTCTCTGTTCCCTTGCTCTACTTGTTTTAGTGATACTTTCTGAAAAGGAAGGAAATAGTATGTGTCTTTTTATTTTACTTGTATTTGTCTCATCTTCCCTAGTAAATTATGTTGAGGACAGATTTCTGCTGTAACTCTCTTTGTTATCAGTACACTCTGTTAAAATGAATACTATTGACTATTTATTGACTGCTCTTTGCAAAGGTGGGAAGTTAGATAGCAGAATGTTGTTTCTGTGGAAAACTTCATCATGTTGCTGCTAGTGGATAGACACAATGGGTACAAGGATTATTTTCCATTTCACAGTGTAAAAAAAAATGGCCACTTTTCAAGCCCAAATAAATCATTTAGTAATATATTCTTGGTAATCTTATTTTAGGACCATTCCCCGCCCCCCCCCGCCCACATTATTTGATTGTTTTTGTTTTGTTTTTGGCTAATTCTTCCCATCTTTATTGTCCCACTATTGATAACAATAGGATATGATTTTGCCAGAAAACAACTCTTAAAGTGATCTACAAAAAGATATATTTTCACCGTGTCTTTCTCTTTCTATTGCTGCTATAACTCCCTCTCCTCTTCCTGCTTAGTTCTTTCTCTTAAAAACCAGAACTCCAATTCATATTGTACACTTCCTCATTGGAGTAAGTGGCTCTTTAATATATTATATTAAAAATATGGCAGATATGCTTTATTTGCCAAAAATGCTACCTTTTTTGGCAATTTAT